ACGTTGTCCACTGCCGGGTCAAACGTAGGCAGCAAGGTCCAGATGTGAGACCCTTTGTCATCTGAGATCTCAGCAGTGGACGACATGGCGGGCGCCCCGGGCTTTCCACGAAGTCACGTGGGCCCTCCGGGCTCCGCTACCAATGTGGCTCCCCGGGTAAGAGTCCACAAAGGTAGGGAAACCGGTACCAACCAGTTTCTTGGATTTGGGGTTCCTACCCCAAAAGGAAAATCTCCCCTTAAAAGGGCTCTTCACCGTGACCCCCTGGGCCCTTATGAACTTGTTACACTTCTCGATACCTGTGCTGCCCACAGCAGCCGCGTCCTCGCTTTTGCACCTCGCGTGCCTTGAGCCATGCGCAGTGGCGATGGCGAAGTCTCTGGTTTCCCATGCAGCCTGCAGGTGGCATATGGTTCGTACATCCAAGGTTACTCAAGTCACATATATACATATATACATATATACATATACACATATACATATACATATACATATACATATACATACATACATACATACATACATACATACATACATACATATCTCTCCTATTTCCAGCAGAGGACTAATACTTGATTACAGGGAGGCGGAGGGACATATACAGGATATGGAATAGACATTATGTACATGTATCATATATACATATACATATATACATATACATATATACATATACATGTATCATATATACATATACATATGCATAACTGGGGGGGCCAAATGGTAAACAAATGAAGCACTGAACCAGGAAGGTGATGATGTGGATCCAGGTCCAGTAACCTCTCCTGCACCTTGGAAGCCGAGCGAAGGAGAAGCGATTTCACCAGTGATGTCATGGGGAATCACCGGTGGATTTGAGATAAAAATTCAGATGGAAAATCGATGGGTTTGTATATGCCTGGATATATAATTACCCTCTGGTAAACTAACATAACTATGGAAAAATCCACCGTGTTATAGCTAGTTTAGTTTACCCTCTGGTAAACTAACGTAACTAAACTAACATCGATGTTCTTTTTTGTTTTTTTTTCCCACTGGAACATCGATTCGACTGGGAGAATCGACTTAGGCTTGGAAGATATTTGGATGTCTTGGTGGTTCCCTTTTAGCAAATCCAAGTTTTTTGGATTCGATGGGATATATCACCAACAATGATGGGAACAAAAAATAGGAGGTGAATCTATCAATCTATCCCATCATTTTTACATCTATAGTAATATATTCAAACATTATCATAGTAACAAAAAATATCCGATAAAACCGCTTTCGGAAACGGGGATCATGTTCCCATGGGGATGATTGTGGGTGGATCGCGAGCAGTCAACCCCCCTGTTGGTTGATTATGTAAGTATGGTATTACCCGGCCTGGTAAACGTTTACAAAAAACTATTGAAGCCATGGCCATTGAAATAGTTGATTTACCCAGCTATAACATGGTGGATCTTTCCATAGTTCTGTTAGTTTACCAGAGGGTAATTATATATATACATGGTTTTGGGGTACCACTATTTCAGAAAACCTCCAAATGTGGAGAAAAAAAGAGGTGCCAAGGGGGGGGGTACCAATGGGAGATTTTGACATATTTTGACCTGGGTTGAGCCAACTATTCCATGCCACATCCCACTAAGAAGGTTTCCTGCTGTATGGGACATCAAAATGAAGAATTCCATATAGAAATTCAATCAAATTCACTAATTCAATCAGGGTTTCTGGATTTCAGGGGTTTCCATGGGTTTTTTTCCAGTGTTTTTCCATAATTGTCCATTCGTATTTCCATCGTTTCCCTCTAAATCAGTACCCAAGGTCTTTTCCAAAGGTTTCACCAAAGAATCAGAGAAACCACAGTGGTTTTCCAATGGTTTTCTTATGGGTTTTCTCTTCAATTTACATTGGGTTTTCAGTGGTTTACACATGTTTTTCCCATGGTCTTCCCATGGTTTTCTCCTGAATGTTCAAGGTCCGGCTCGGTGTTTTCCCATCGCATTTTCGGCCTCCCAGGCCACGTTTTGGCCGGTGAAACTTCATCGCGTCGTGGTAGTGCGAGCCAGTGACTGGGAGGCGCTGGGGAAACCGAGAGGAAGATATACATGGCAATGTTAGTAAAGCAATCATAGACCACCCATTTGGGAATGGTAATTATAGTGATTTAATGGGATTAATGGGATTTATAGTGGCTCAATGGGATATTATAGTGATTTAATGGGATTTGTAGTGGTTCAATGGGATATTAATGGGATTTACCCTCTGGTAATATGTAACAATAGCTATTGAAAATGGCCATTGAAATAGTTGATTTACCCATGAAAAATGGTGATGTTCCATAGTTTTTTGTATGTTTACCAGAGGGTAACATGGATTAATATGGACACATGTGGGTAGAACAATGTCATAAACCACCCATTTGGGAATGGTTTTTACCACCTATAAACATGATGACGACTGGGGGATGGTTTATGGCATTGTTTTACCCGGATTAATGTTAGTAAAGCAATAATCAACCACCCATATTTTGACTTATACCGTATACCAGCCATTTATGGTAAATTTGGGAATGGTCTAGTTTGCTATGATTGCTTCACTACCGTTAAGTTGGTTTAGACATAGACTAGGGTAAGCTGCTCCAAAAAGATATGGACAATCAAAGAAAAAAAACTATTCAATGATTTTGCATCATGGCAGTGTGCGCTACTATAGCATCCTTTTTTTCATGTTTGTTTTTGGGCCCAGCAACTTCGTTTTTGAGAGCTTGGTATATTATAGTAAAAAAAATGATTTTGATGGTAGAATAGACACACCAGCTAAACCATGCTGTTCGCATCTAAGATCGGCCAACTATGATTGAGTTGGTTACAGTACTACCTTGTGAAATCACTATTTGTTCTTAGATACATACCACTAATTACATAGCAATTCTCGTGTAAGCCCAAATGCTACCTATATGGAATATTTACCACATATTTATCCAACAATGATAAACATTGCCGATATGCAGTGAATATACAATATAATATACCAGCACATACCAGCACCATGAAGCATAGGGGTTTTGGTAGCTATCCGGGTTGGTCTGAAAATACCCATGTAAATGGTTGAACACCTCAAGTTTCCCCATGAAATGAGTATAGAGTCTATGATAAGTATATATATATAACTAGAAAATGCCCAAAACTGCATGATTATTCATTGGTTGAAGCAGTTAAAATCATTGTTTTGACGATTCTTGAGGATTAAATTCCCCATGGATATCTATTGTTCTTGAGGGTTAAATCCCCCATCTTCAGGTTTAAATCACCACTTGGGCTGCTTCCATTGTTGAGGACATTTTTATTGGTAAAACACACCGAGTTTCCCCAACTGATGGCTGGTTGGCTTCAACATTTTCTGTGAATTACCCTCTGGTAAACTAACATAACTATGGAAAATCACCATTTTCAATGGGAAAATCCACTATAAATGGCCATTTTCAATAGCTATGTTAGTTATTACCAGAGGGTATCCGAGATTGGCAATCTTGAAACCCATCCTCGCGAGGAAACCCTTGGCGTGGCCATGCAAGGCGCAGGTCGTGGCCTGGGCGTTGATTGGTTATCGGGGATTGTAGTATACCTCTGGGTAAATTATAACGACCTCACTGTTCTCCCTCACTGGAATCATAGTTAATAAGGGAAATCATCCCAAATGGTCTTATTTCAGGTTAGTGAAATATTATAATTTACCCAGATACCTGATTTAATGGTGATTAAAAGCCACTGGAAAATTTATAACCCACTATCTGGTGATTAAAAGCCACTGGAAAATTTATAACCCACTATCTGGTGATTAAAAGCCACTATCTGGAAAATTTATAACCCACTATCTGGTGATTTTTTAACCCACTATCTGGTAGTACTCATTATCAACTTGTGGCAACCCACTATTTGGAGAATTTATTCACCAGTATACTTGTTGGGATGGGGCTATTTTCATGGCTCAACTGGCAGCCATTGGCAAATGGTGGAGTTCAGCGGCCCCTTTGACAAAGGGCTTTGTCTGAGAATGGAGGATACCGTAGTAGTAGAATGGCCGTTTGGCAATAGAATTCTTTATCATATCCCATGACGGATCCATGGTGCTGCGAAAAAAATGGTGTGCCATGGATCCCATCAATATACCCCCAATAAATGTTAGCATTTTTCTACCAGCACCGTTAGGATCCGTCATGGGTATGAAAAAAAATGAGAATCATGGAGAACATGCCTAAAAAATAATGTGTGATTGACGCGGATACCAGGAGAGCCCCAAAAAGAAGTAAAAACAGGTGTGTTGACTCAGTATGTGTCACTACAGTACACCAACCCTAGATTAGATTCGCTCCATCTATGGCATATTTATCAACACTTACCGCGAAAATCAGGGAGTTTTGTAGGTCAAACAAATACCAAGCATGGGTTGGCATGGCAGGCCTCATCGACGGCGGCTTGGGCGCCCTGAAAAAGGTGGGTGAAGAGCGGCAGACTGAGCACTTCGCGGGCGTGGACGATCAGTTCCAGCAGGATGCGGATTCCGGGGGAAGATCCCTCGATTTTTCTGGAGGATGCAGCAGGATTTTCGCTTAAATTTTTAGGCTTCCAAAGTCATGATGTATGGTCTATATATATATATTATATCTATGGTTTATGATGGAGGTTTATGATATATGATGAACATTTTTTTAACTGGTGGATGGTATATTTATATCTGGAGGTTTCCGTTTAGTCTTGGGGGTACCACCAGTTCTCATCCAATCGTCATGGCGACTTGAGGATTTCCCATTTTCAGACACCCTCAGTGATATTTCTGAGATTGTGCTAAGATATGTTTGAAAAAAATCACGGCTGTTGCTAGTTGATTGAAGTTTGTGTCTGCACTATTCAAGAGTCCTTATCATAGGTATTTTATGATGGATATTAATGTATTTACTCATCATAGGTATTTATGATGGACCTGGTTGGAACAACCCTGGCAAGTCCTAATTCCTGGGATTATACATGCAAGTGCAGTGGTAGCCAGAACCCTAAGCTGATCTCGCCTGTTTCTATCGCTGACGCATTGCTCATTGGCTCGGTCCCCTTGAGCCAAGGGCGAGACATGGAAAGGCAGTTGGACCAATGGTGAAATGCAGTCTTTGCACTCGTCACACTTTCTTTTGGTCCAACTAAAGAATAAAATGCACCTCATGTCGAGATGTTCTTTCCAAAAGTTTATGCTGGAGGGCTGATCCTTCTTCAAGAATTGCCCACTGACCAGTTCTGAGGACATGTCGTAATAAATCGGATCTGGTTTCCTTGGTCAATGGGTCTGCCAGCATAGTTCGGCCATCCACCCAACGGATGTTGCCGTTGAGGTTGTTCACTTCCTGCTTGATAAGAGAGATATCGATGGAGGTTCGTTTATCGCCACACTGAGAAGCTGGGTTGGTGTACTTGCTCACAGCGTCATAAAGAGATTTTGAATCCGTCACACAGATGAATGGAAGACGGGAGACTTCACGATGCCATTCTCGGGCTGATAGTTGCAATCCCCGTGCTTCCAAAATCAAGATCCGGTACCAGTGAACAGATCCAAGGCCTCGAACCAGAGCTTGAGTCTCGGAGCTCAAGGTATTGACGGTCTGTCGCTTCAGCCGATAGCTCTTCCAAGACGCAACTGAGACATTTTGCAGACTCTGAGATTCTGGTAATGCTTGATCGTAGAAGATGACAATCTCGCCACCCTGGCTGTAGAGCTTATTCAACTGCTCGTACCCGGCATGGATGTCCTTGGAGTCGAGCATCTGGCCCTTGTCCTGCTTGTAGAACGTTGTGGTGCCAGTCCAAGACTGAGAAGCTAGAGGGCGAAGGCTATCACTTGTGGTCCACTCATCTCGGATGGTCGAAGTGCGGTCATTAACGTTCATCTCTGTGATTCTCATAGGCTGTACGTCGTGAAGATCAGGACCATTTGGACAAGCAGCAGGATGAAATGCCGTTCGTCTTTCCATGACGTGGTGACGTGTCCACGTCGTTGAGGTCTCTTCCCACCAATCATCAGAATCTTGCTCCAAGAAGGTGCCAAATTCTTTGGAGTTGCCCCACGAAGCATCAGTGACTACGCCAGCTCGAAGACGATCTAATGGGATGGGCATGACCTTGATGCCGATGTTCTTGTGGTCCATGGCTTCCTTGGCAATCTGATTGGCAGTCAGGAGATCCTTAATCAGTGGTCGAGGAAACGCTTGTTGAAGAAGAGCTGTCCTTCCTGCCAAATCACAACGGGTTTCTTTAGAAAGCCATGACAACACACCAACTAACGCCCTTAGTTGCTCGATCTCATCTGGAGTGCAAACGGAAAATTTTCGACGTTTGCGTTCTCGAGTC